GCCCCCCATTTACATTCTGTTTCCCGTCTCCTTTAGTCTGACTACAGCTATGGTTATTTTTTTAAAGTACAGTGTGCAAAGAAGAATTTGTAAGAAACTATGTAAGATAAGAATATTAAACAGCAAGTTTAAGCTAGCCAGAGTCAACAAGGAACATGTATATTTTAAAACTAGGATGTGTGAAGATAAAAGAAACCAAATAAGGCACAAATTAATTTAAAGATGAATATAAAACCTATTTGTCAATAGCTTGAATCATCTTCCATAAACTTTGACGGTAAAAATCCTGGGCACAAAATATCTATAATAGAAGGCAACTAGGAATCTCGTAGGTAGCTATGGACTCTGGCAGGGAGGAAACGATTAAGGTGACTGCTGGAAAACTGCATCTGAAGCAACCTCAACATTCCTTCCAGCCCAGAGAAAAGAAGTCAGACTGGTGTAGGGCTGTGTCAGCCACAAGGAGTGAGGATCCCCTACGACTAGAGACAAATGACAAGCACACCTTGCTTATCTTCCAAGAAACCACACTGTCGAGAATTGCTAACATAACGGAAAATAAATATAATAAAAGAGGTACCAAACTCAGACAAAACTAGTGTTTATGAAAAAACAACCAAGCAAACAAAATGTAACATCAGAGAAATATGAAGCTATCAGTCATTTTAAAAAAGGGCTGCTTTTAAAGAGCACCAGTTAGACATCTTGAAAATTAAAAAAGATTATTACAATTAACTCAATGGATGGATTATGTATCATAATGGGCATAACTGAGGAACAAATTGTATGTTAGAATGGGCATAACTAAGGAGCCAAGAAAGCCTGCCAGAATACAATAAAACAAAGAGGATAGAGAAATGAGAAGTTTGGAAGAAAAGTTAAATGACATAGAGTAGAAATCCAGAAGTTCCAACATTTACCTATCTGAAGTTTAGAAGGAAGATTCTCTTGAACTTAAAATTGTATACCTAGCAAATTAACATTTATGGCTGAACACAAGAACAGAAAAAGAAGTGTACAGCTTCCTTACCACTAAAAATAAACCCCTAAGTGGAGCAGATGATCAATACAGCAAAAATGGGGGGTGGGAGGGTGGTAAAGGAAGAAACGAAAAGCAGGGTACTTGTGGCAGGCACATTAAATATGTCAATAATAACAATAAATGTAAATAGGTTAAATCTCCATTATTTAAAAAAAAATCAAACGATTTAAAATAAAAAATAACTTCATGTGGCGCTGCCTATAAAGCATAACCTAAAACAAAATGACAAGTCAAAAAAGAATGTAAAGAAGTTACAGAAGGCAACCACTAACAAAAAGAAGTCAGTATCAAATAAAATACTATTCAGAAGCCTTGGAACACAGAAGAGAAGTTTTACTGATAAAAGGTACAACCTGCCAAGAACACATCAATCACGAACCCTATGTGCTTAATAAAACTTCAAGATAATGAAACAATTACTTTTGACATTAAATATGAAGAAAAGAAAAACACTGTTTCAATTTCTTGCAAAAAGTTTACAACATTTCTAAGTCACTGAGAACATGGCTAATACACATCCTAAAACAGTAGTCTGTTTATATTGAAAATAAAATGGCATGGACTACTACTCGGCAGTAAAAAAGTAAATCTTACCCTTTGCGACAGCATGGATGAACCCGGAGAACATTTGCTAAGTAAAATAAGCCAATCAAAGAAAGGCAAACACCATATGATTGCACTCATATGTGGAATCTAATGAACAAAATGAACTAACAAGCAAAACAGAGGCACTCAGATGGAGAGCAGGCTGACAGCTATGGGGGGTGGCAGGGGAGGCTAAGTGGTGGTGGTGAAGGGATTGAGCAAAAAAGAAAAAAAAGGGAAAAAGGAAAGAAAATAATTTGGCATATTAAATGCAAGAAGTATACTGAAGATTTAATATTTTTAATAAAGATTTGCAGATTAAATAGAACATTCTCTGGACAGAGTAATGACCTTGTTTCATTAGCACAAACAAGTATGAACTCTTTCCAGTCTACTACAAGTTAAAGGCTAAATGATATCACACTGAACACAAGGCGAGGCAGTCATAGCAAGGCCTGACAAATTCAAAGAATACAGAGAAATCTGGACAGATAGGCACAGAAGGTTTCACTTAGAAATATGGGTACTTTATTTTTATTGAGCAAAGTCTAAATCAACCTAAAATCAAGTAACTAAATCTTTCAATTAGCTATTTCCCTCCATTTAGTCAAGTTTTACAATGGCTTCCTTTTTAAAATTATTACAAATTCTTTAACTCCTAAGGCCAAAATCAGAACATGCTAATTTCCTTTGCTAATTGTGCTGTAGAAAGAAACAAAACAAAACAATGCTCTGAATGACATTAAGTGTAAAAGGATCAAATTACACAGGCAGAACACCAAATTGCAAATTTTCTTCCATTGCTCCTCCACTGCCCGCCCATACAGAAAGCAACCAAACTCCTTTTGGGTAGCTCTTGATCTTGGTTAACATCCGTATCACCTTCTGCTCACCACCCCTCCCCTCCATTACTTTCTGCTCAACTGCTTCCCTTCATTAATAAAAAGGGAAAGAAAAAATGCCATTACAAGGATGATACAGAAAAGCTCATTATTTTCATCCGATGATGGAATTTAGTACAAAAAGCAGGTTAGCACAATTCCAAACTATCAATCAGCACCAGCTATATCAGGAACTAGACCCTATTTTCACAAGCTCTGAGACCAATACTAGGCAGAAATAAAAATAAATGCACTGGAGGCAGAAGTTTAAAACTACTAAGCAGATTTTTTAAACAATAAGGCAATTTCTTACTGGAAATCACTTTTGGTTTGGATAGTCTTTTTAAGGTTTAAACATTCCATAGTATTTTACACTAAATTTCTGTGAAAATGCACCGTTCTCCAGCATTTCTTACAACAAATCAGTTTCTAACTGATCTGAAAGATCTTTTTATTAACAAGTAAGCTGAATTGTCATTCCCTGCTCAAAACCCCCTAGTAACTTCCCACTACCATTGCTTATACACAAGGAGTCCAAACTTGCTTTACTCCACTCCTGCCACTCTGGCCTCCTACATGTAACTTTGGTGGGTTCAAAAAAATACTAATCTCCTTCTAAAAGAAAACAGTTGAAAGGATTAGGTACTATGTATTCAATTTCCATGAGCAATACATGGTCATAAATTTAAACTTAGTGAATACTGGTAAGAATACAGGTGAATTATGAAAAAGAAATGACATCCAGCCCTGGTTGGTCATTCTGTGCACTACGAGATTGCCAGTTTGATTGCCAGTCAAGGGTACGTGCCCAGGTTGTGGGCTTGATCCCCCGTGGGAGGAGTGCAAGAGGCAGCCCATTGATGTAGCACCCTCACAGTAGTGTTTCTCTCTCTCTCCCCCCTCCCTTGTTCTCTCTCCAAAAATCAATAAACTACTAAAAAAAGATATCCATTTCTGCCTAGTATATCAAAGTATTACTTAGACTAGAAAACTTAGCTTTTTCCATTCAAGATCTGAATGAGTTTCAACTCTTGATAATGAATAACTGTCCAGCAGAGTTAACTCCATGACCCTGTACTTCTGCTTAATGAAGTCAACAAGCATTTGGACTCAAATCTTATAGGGAATCCTGAAGTTAATGCATGAAGCAAAAGTCATT